CATGGTGGTTGTCCACACACAATGACTTCTTATAAGTAAACAAAGCAGGCGCCTCCTCTTCAGATGCCATTAGGGATTGAGACCCCAATGGCCCAACTGTAAGTTGACACAGGCCTTTGAAAAAGCCGATGACAGATCAGTGGGAAAGGACAGATTCCCACCAAGATATTGGACCAAGATTCCTTTCTAGTTCTATCACCACCATCACCATCCCCACGACCACCACCACCATCATCATTGTCAACATCAACATCACCAAAATTTACTTACTTATAATTATTCTCATTTTTTACATGTGGTTTTTGTACAGACATAAGGACCTATTTCTTAATTTTTGCTCAATTTTTATAGCTGTTAAATAAAATGCAACTATATTTTCTTTTTTGTTGGAATTCTAGCAATTGAGGGCTCATTGCTGCCTCTTCTCCATCTGCCCCAAACAATGGAAATTGGATAAGAAATCATACTTTTCTCTTTGGATGTTATTGGGAGATGGAAACCACACAAGTTCCACGAAACAGAAATCCTCCCCCTCCCCCACCACCTCACCAAAATAAAAGCCCTGCGCCCTTTCCTTTCCAGTCTCCATCCAAGCAGGTCTGACTTGCTGAGTGATCTTTCATGTGCTTCTCAGGGGTTTCAATCAGGAGCATAATAACCATCCCACGTCTCCTTGGTGTGTGTGTGTCATGAACATCTGTACCAGCTGCTGTGCCTCTGCTTCTTCATGGTGTCCACTCCTCTGGGTGCTGTGAGCATGAGGACAAGACCAGGACTGTCACCCTGTGGGTCCTTCTTCTGTAGCTTTGGGTTCACACACATGTGGGGCCCACGGTCCAGCATTCAGGGGAGCTGCACTGTTGAGTCATTAGAGCCTCTTGTTAGATTCAGGTGACGTGGGTCAGAAGATTTGATGATAAAACTCATTATGGCACAAGTGTGCATGAAAGAGACTCTGTGCCTTTTGTTCACACGAGAAAGTTGTCTCTCTTAACAACAGTCTTTCTAACTCAGAGACTCAGACGTCAGTGCAGAATCACGATCTGGAGGTTCCCTGAGGGAAACTTTGACATGAAGAGCAAACCACAGAGGAACCAGCACAGACCTCCAACTGCACCTGCTGCTGGGATGGTCCTTGTGTTCAGGAAGAAAGCATTGACCGCAATAGGAAGCCTGCACACCCCCTGCAGGGACAGACAGCCTCTGAGCTGGGACCCTGGCCTTCATGGTCCTGAGCGCCCCCTGGTGTCCTGGAATCTCCCTGAAGCCCAGCACTGATGTCTCCTCAGGGAGGTTAATGTCTGGGCTCACACTGACTTGCCCTCACTGTGTGTCTGGCACAGTAATACACAGCCGTGTCATCGGCTCTCAGGCTGCTCATTTGCAGATACAGCGCGTTCTTGGCGTTGTCTCTGGAGATGGTGAAGCGGCCCTTCACAGAGTCGGAGTAGTATGTGCTACCACCACCACTACTAATGCGTGCGACCCACTCCAGCCCCTTCCCTGGAGGCTGGCGGACCCAGGTCATTTCATAGCTACTGAAGGTGAATCCAGAGGCTGAACAAGAGAGGCTCAGAGACCCCCCAGGCTGCACCAAGCCTCCCCCTGAGGCCACCAGCTGTTCCTCACACTGGACACCTGCAAACATAGAGACACAAGGTGGACTGAGAGGTGACGTGGGTCAGAAGATTTGATGATAAAACTCATTATGGCACAAGTGTGCATGAAAGAGACTCTGTGCCTTTTGTTCACACGAGAAAGTTGTCTCTCTTAACAACAGTCTTTCTAACTCAGAGACTCAGACGTCAGTGCAGAATCACGATCTGGAGGTTCCCTGAGGGAAACTTTGACATGAAGAGCAAACCACAGAGGAACCAGCACAGACCTCCAACTGCACCTGCTGCTGGGATGGTCCTTGTGTTCAGGAAGAAAGCATTGACCGCAATAGGAAGCCTGCACAACCCCTGCAGGGACAGACAGCCTCTGAGCTGGGACCCTGGCCTTCATGGTCCTGAGCGCCCCCTGGTGTCCTGGAATCTCCCTGAAGCCCAGCACTGATGTCTCCTCAGGGAGGTTAATTGTTGGGCTCACACTGACTTCCCCTCACTGTGTGTCTTGCACAGTAATACACGGCCGTGTCATCGGCTCTCAGGCTGCTCATTTGCAGATACAGCGCGTTCTTGGCGTTGTCTCTGGAGATGGTGAAGCGGCCCTTCACAGAGTCGGCGTAGTATGTGCTACCACCAGTACTAATGAGTGCAACCCACTCCAGCCCCTTCCCTGGAGGCTGGCGGACCCAGCCCTCACTGTGTGTCTGGCACAGTAATACACAGCCGTGTCATCGGCTCTCAGGCTGCTCATTTGCAGATACAGCGCGTTCTTGGCGTTGTCTCTGGAGATGGTGAAGCGGCCCTTCACAGAGTCGGCGTAGTATGTGCTACCACCAGTACTAATGAGTGCAACCCACTCCAGCCCCTTCCCTGGAGGCTGGCGGACCCAGGTCATTTCATAGCTACTGAAGGTGAATCCAGAGGCTGAACAAGAGAGGCTCAGAGACCCCCCAGGCTGCACCAAGCCTCCCCCTGAGGCCACCAGCTGTTCCTCACACTGGACACCTGCAAACATAGAGACACAAGGTGGACTGAGAATCACATGGAAGCACCAACAGGCACAGGCACAGGTCTCAGCGCTCCCCACTCCTGAGAACGACCTTGAGAAATGATCAGGAGGAAAACGCAGCTTGGCACCAAGTCCATGGTGGAGCCGCTGGGGTCCTGTCTCAGGCGCTTGGGTTCTGGGTGTCTCCCCAACATGCCGGGCAAGGGCCCCATTTTATGAGCAGGAGGAGAGGCCCATTTGCATGGAGTCTGCATATAAGGGTGCAGCTGGGACCCTGGGCTGCATGCCTGACCTTGTCATCCTAGGGGCAACCCGGATGGGAAAATATTCAAGGATGCTGGCCACAAGGGATCCCGTCCTTACCCCCCTCCCTCCCTCCTTTCCTGAGACCTGTCCCCCTGACTCCATTCCATTGGGGGCAGCTTCCAGGATTGAGAGTCCTTCATCCTTGGGGTTTTGATTAGAAACCGGGGGTGCTCCTCCAGAGGTGTGTGGATGGGGCTTCCTCTCGCTCTCCTTCACCTGCCATGGGCCATGTCGCCTTTCTGGGGTTTGGGAATAAGAAT